ACTTGAAAAGATTTACTGTGTTTCTTTTGTAATGTTTTTCGTTCTTTCAAATGAGAAACTCAGTTTTTTGGGTCCAATTCCAAAAACTGGCCCAAATCTGGCTCAACTTGAAAATTTCAAATGGAAACTACTGTTGCTTATGGCAGATTCGAATTATGGGGGAAATTACACGTTCAAACGTGATATCAAATTTTACCGAAATGTTTATCTGCGAGAATTTTATTCATACATACATGTGTGAAAATTGTCGACGACCCTATAGATCTCCCCCTGCTTCCCTTTGAATTTCACGTTTTTAGAAAATTTAAAAACCACCCCTACAGCTATTGGTGTGAACTCTTTATGTTCAATAGCTTTAAATTACATATCGATTATTTGTTACAAAGTAAAATCTGATCCTGAATCAAAAAAGCCGCTTCGATCTCCATTATATGTGACATTTATAAAATTTCATTTTTTTTTATTAGCACTTTTAGCGTAATGACGTCGTAGATGTATTGATCACATGATTTCAAATCATCCTTATAACTATTTAAATAGGTAATTTTGTGAATCTTTTTTATCTTTTTTCAATATCTTTTATTATTGACAAACTTTGGTAAGACATCTATTCTCTACTGACATAAATAATTATTAAATATTTTTAATGTGAGCTTTTTCTTTGAATTTTCTAGGGCTTAAGACCTACACATTGTTATATTTTATTGTAGGTTACGTTTGATCCCAATGTGGCTGTATTAAAAACTTGATTATCGACGGTTTACTAACTGTTATAACAGCTATCTAATTATAGATACTCTGCTGCGTAACTCTATTTAATATCAAGATTAGTACATGAATTATTTTATAATTCTTTTAATAAAAAATATTCTTTAATAAATTAATTCTATTAATAAAAAATAACTATTCTTTAATAAAAAATAATTAATAAATATGTAATTATATCGATTAGACTTTTACATGTCACTTATAATAAAATGAGAATGAAAAATTAATCATAAATAAGATTTCTTAAAAATAATAGTTTTGTTTCTAAATTTAAATACATTTGAAAAAGTTAAATATTTATAATTACATAAAGGTCATATTTATAGTTACATAAATTACTAATGACTTTATCAACGACAACGCGTTGTTTTATTGAGTTATTGATTTAAATGCCACCGCGTTGTTGTAGTAAACGTCATTACGTTGCTTTACTAAACGACATCACGTTTTTTTTTTTCAGATATATAAAATTGTACAGCTATCGTTAAATGTTAGAATGAAATTAGTTTCTACTTCTTATTAAATAATTAATGAGTTAAAAACAATCTCAATAATAATTGTTTTTTTTTAATATTTAGCTTTCAAATAAAACTATTTCATTTCCATATTTAACCCATTAATACCCAAGCCAAATCAAGCTGAGATAGCCCCAAACTAACTATTGCTTCCATGGCGTCAAAAATTATTTACATAAATTAAATATAACAGGTTTGGCATTACTCGTTCAGGTTGAAATTGTTTATCATGATTTTACAACAACAAATTGAGCTCTGACAAAAAGTGTTATAGAGGTTTCTGTCATTATTTATCCCGTAGAATTGGTAACTGCTATTAGTTTTTCGAAAAGAAAAATTTTTTGGCAATTAGTTTAAATAATTTTTGATAAACAATTGAGATCGCTAAAAGAAAAAACACGGGTAACTATTTATTTTACTTACGCCATGGATGTAATAGTTAGTTTGGGGCTATCTCAGCTAGATTCGGCTTGGGTATTAATGGGTTAATATTAGCTGAAAGGATACAAATATATACAGGTTGGTAAATAAATTAAATTCTTACTGACAATATTATTATGTTAAGATTTTGCCACTTTTCGATCTATGCCCACTATTTAAGAATGCATATTGCATTCTCCATTTTCGTTAATAAAATGACTTTTTTCAAATTGTGTGCAACACATCATATCGTTTGCAAAGCTTATATAAAAATATATTAAATTCGATTTGGTTAACTTCCTTCTTTTTTTGCTTGTAATCAGTGTATTTTAAACACTATACTTCACTTTAAAGGTTACAATACCGTCATTTTACTGAATTTGTAGGTATTTCTGAAAAACAATACATATATATGTTTTCCATACTTTCAGAGAATAAAAGTAAATCATGTGCTATCGTTAGTCTGTATACTTCTGCATCAAACGTTTTATTGAAATTTTCATTATATCCAAGACAATGCAAATAGTGTATAATATATGATCCACAACTTTAACCGTCATGAACTGATTGATACGGACAGTTGTTAAACTTCCATTTTTTTCCAGTTTTTATTTCTCAATTTATCAAATGAGCTGCTTGAATTATCAATAAAGTACTGAAACGATTCTCTAGCTCGATCTTCATTTGTTTCAATTCTATAAGGATCCAAAACGCATATTTTTCCTTTCTTTATATTTACGACAAATAAATGCCAGTGACCATTTAGTAAGTATGGCATTAATAACACAGATCTGCATGGTTTTGTTGTTGGCTGACGGAAGGTCATTTCCGAAGTAATTTTTTGCGCAGAATTCGAATCTGGAGTCAGAATTTGTCCAGCATGTCAGGTTTTTTAGATATCCTAATTTTTTAGATTACCTGGCTGCTAAGCGTAGCGAAGCTCCACGCCGCTACTCGTGTTTAGGCCAATCAATAGACATTTTAAAGACATAAAAAGTAGAAAAAAACCGAATGAAAATTCGTTTTTATCGGTATAAATATAAAAATGTACATGTTTCCCACATCTAATTTTCATAACCTGATTTTCAAACAACGATCGAAATGTGCAAAAAGTGATTTTCGCATATGAAACCTACACTTTTAAAGTAAATTTTAAGGCATTATAAGTATTTTCTTCAAAATCCGACTTCGATATCTTTATTAGTTTTTAAAATATAGCCGTTTTAAAATTTTTTATCATTTTTCTTTAATTGTTTACAACTTTTGATATAATTAATGTATCGTCTTCAAAATTTGGGAAAAATCTCACTTTTATGTGTACAACAATTGTGCCAAATTAAAAAAAAATCCGTAACCTAAGGGTTACAAGTCAATCGAAATAGCCAAGAATTACCCATATGTACGAGATAAAAACGAACCGCGCTCCAATTTCCTGCTGATTGACACAAGTACCACTGAAAAAAGTTTCATCTTTTTAAAAACTACCCTTTTTCCGCCTTTTTTTTCAGTTTTGCAACTTTTTCTCAGATTGACATGGTCCAATTAATATGATCGATGGCTCGTTTTAAAGGTAATTAAATTATCTATAACCTTCTCCACTGGAGTTACCTGCACTTTACTTTAAAAGTGTAGGTTTCATATGCGCAAATCACTTTTTGCACATTTCAATCGTTGTTTAAAAATCAGGTTATGAAAATTAGAAGTGGGAAACATGTACATTTATATATTTATACCGATAAAAACGAATTTTCATTCGGTTTGCTTCTACTTTTTATGTCTTTAAAATGTCTATTGATTGGTCTAAACACGAGTAGCGGCGCGGAGCTTCGCTACGCTTAGCAGCCAGGTAATAAATCATCGGTAAAAAGCAAATCCAACATGCAAATTATGCCGACTGTTATAAAATTAATATTTAAATATTACTACAAATACGAAATTATAAAAAAACATATTTTTATTCATACAAACTTGCAATACAAGTGCAAATGTATTAAACTTTGTGCTTCGCATGACATGACACTAAGAAACTGAGGATAAAATTGTTTTTTAAATCATACATTCTACAGCTAACCTATGAAAATAAATCAGTTTTGGCGATACAAAGTTGAACCTTACTAGTATGTAATTTGTTTGTAGCGTCTGTTTTAAATTGAAAGTTTGTATGAATAAAATGTAAAATATAAATGTAAAAAAGATAGCATTTGAGCAAAACTTATAAATAGTTTCGTGAAATAAGTGAATATATTTACTAATTAACACTATTCATTACGTAATTTAAATTATTTATTACCAAAAAAATTTGATTCATAGCCCCGCCAACATTGTGTTCGAACCGTCTTCGTATGTATACGTAAAACGCGCCGCTATCCGTCATAGCCCGACAGTACAGATAGCTGCGTCAAGTCTGCGTTTAAAATTAATTTTGTATAAAATATAATAATACAATTTATCATCGTGAAGTAATATATATTGTGTGTATGCGAGCGCACGAGTGTGTGTGTAAAAGATAATATACATATTCGCGCAACACATATCAATATAATAAAATCTACTTTTTACACTAATGAATCATGACCATAATTATTTAAATTAACTTCATTAATGCCATTGATGTTAGTAGCAATGACTGTAGCAGTGTGGCTCAAAACATCATCACCCATTGTATAAATGAATTCTAACAGAATACACTAATATATCAAAACACTATTACACTAATATTAACTAAAATATACTAAAGATACTAAAATATGAAACACTTATTAAATTCTGAAGAAACTGCACTAATGCTCTGACGATCGCTGCCTAAAGTACTAACGACAACTGAGCAGAATAAGTGGCCACGTTATAAGCGATAAGACGAAAATAAAAAGGTTGTTTGTTATTGTCCTAACAGTAGGATACAGGGCAGTAGGTGAAAATTTGAGATATTTACACTTCCTTTCTCTACGGACCCGTTCTATTTTATTTGAGCGAATGGATTGAAAATATTTAAATGCTTTGGTCTATCAGTTGCAGCGTAATAGTCGTCGTGTTCGGCCATACAACGGCTCTGCTTTTACGAAGGTACATATATTATATACTTTATTAATTTTATAATAAAACAATATAATAGAGCATGTTACGGCAAGTGACATCACATACGCAATGCCCACGCAAAATTTTTGCGCGCGCCGTGCTATTCGATTTACGTACGCATCAGTTTTTGAATCCTTGCGTACGTAGACGTTCATACGCCGTGTCGGCCGCCGACTTGGGCTTATAAAAAAATAAATATATTAATTTTTTGTTGTTATAGAATTATAAGTGACGTGTCCGATGACGACTGGTTCGAGGCCAAAAATGAGATGCTGCAGCAGCAGCAGCAGTCACTGTTGCTACCACCACTGCAACTACTGCCACCGCAACTACTGGTGAGGCATCATTAGCCGTCGCCGCAACTACTGCAGATGCATGAGCAGTCACCGCCGTCACCACCATCGCCGATACATCAGCAACAGTAGCAGCAGTCACCAGCGCCACTATCACTGCTAATGTATCAACAGTCACCGCCGCCTCCGCAACTACTGTCGTTGCAGTAGCAGCTGCCGCCGCAACAACTGATGATGCATCATCAGCCGTCGCCGCAACTACTGCAGATGTAACAGCAGTTGCCACCGCCAGTTTCACCAATCTATTGGCAACCGCAGCTGCCGCCACCTCCACCGGTGTCGATGTATGAGCAGCCACCGCCGCCGCCATCTCCTCAATGTCCTCCGTTACGCGCTCACAGCACCAACCGACCAACATGTTGGCAGCACAAGAAAGATCTTCTACGCGAGAGCCTCAAAATCGGCGAAGCTGTTGAGAAAGTAGCTCTGTGTATGCTTGGATCGGTAGTGATCTCGCGCAGATCCTGCACGTTGCCCATGGGAATACCGAAGCTGAAAATGGTGACTCCCAAGTCCTTAAGCAGACTAGCCGGTGGGAGGTCTCCACCGTTGCTGAAGCCGTAGATGCTGCCGCCGCTGTAGTCGAACTGGTCGAGCTGGCCGCTGAGCAGCTGATACTTGTTGACTCAATTGGTCTCGCACGATACTTGGTCCACGTACACGCACCAGCTGGCCCTTGCTGGCGAACGTGACTATGGACAACCTGATGGCTGTCGGCGCCATTGTTAAGTCCGACAGCAGCTTCCTCACGAAATTCAGCTCGCCGTGGTAGTTTGTCTCGCCCACCAAATTCGAGGTGTCGATCAGGAACACCAGGTCCAGCTGCAATGTCCGTGATTTTCTCCTCAACTTTACCAAAGGAGCTCGCTAGGCTCGTAGAGTTTGTGTAATGCTCGTGCGAAAGGCAAATGGAATCTTGCATACAGCCAGGTAACAAGGACACGAGAGAGGAGATAGCGATGATAACATGTTACTTATTATATTATTATTATACCTGTTATTATTAGTATAAGTTTATTATATATATATATATTTTTAATTGTGATTTATTGTGAATTTATTCACTATGATTGATTCTTTTATATTGATCTCTCTACGTAGTCTACTCAATGCTATGAATGGGCGAGCTACTACTAATGGTCTATACCTTGCACAATTGTAGAAAAATCTTGTTTTCGTATTAAGTACTTTCTGTCTAGAAATTGCTATAGCCACATCTGAGCGACCCTTGATATCAGGTCCTTGGTCTTATTTTCCTATAAAACAGAAGGCCTATTATTCACTTAGTCGAAGTCCACAAGGACGAACAACTTCAAGGGTTTGTAACTCGACGGATTTTGGAAAATTCTGGTTCGATGCTAGGAGTATTCGTCAAGAAATTTACTCACGTATTCTACAAATTTAACTCCGCGACTTTATTGAAGTACTATCGGCAAATTGTGATCGTGTTTATAAAAATTATTAGTTAAAATAAAATTGAAAAAACTTTCTTGAAACAATCATAAGATTTCATTAACTTACATCAGATTACATTAAATACGATTAAATATGATCTTCAAACATGATACATTAAAACCGATAAAAAAAAGTTTGATTAAATACTATTAGAAAAATACTGTAGGAATTACTATTAGAATTCCTAGAATACGATTACATTAAATTCCATTAGTTATGACTCTTTTAACCCTTTGAAGCACAGTGTCCATCCTGATGGACAAATTGATTTATTGCTTCTTTTGCCATCTTAGAACAACATTATGGATTTCAACAGGGTCTTTTGCATTCTTTCAGTTCATTAACAGTTCAAAAACATAATTTTGCAGTTGAAATCAATATATTGGGTTATTTTTTAATATTTTTAAATGAACAAAGAAGAAAAAAATTGGATTTTTGGGGAGAAATTCATTATTGACGCGAATAATGAGAGTATCCCTTTCAAATTTGGTATGCAAAGGTTTTTGGGGTCGCTGAATAATAATTTGACATCAGATTTCAAAAATTGTGTATCTAAGATGGCGGATCTAAAATGGCGGGCAAGAAGATTTCCTATATTGATACCAATACTCTAAAATTCATATCTAAAGGGTTTTAGGGGTCGCAGATAACGATTCTGATATCAGGTTTCCGAAATAATGCTTTCAAAATGGCGGATATGTATATTTTTATATTGGCTTGAATACTCTCAAACTCATATCTAAAGTGCCTCAATCTCAGTGATAATCAATATCATACTAGTTTTCTGAAATTCTGCAGCCAAGATGGCCAAAGGATATGATTGATGTACATGCTTATTTGCATGACTTGAAAGTATAATATCTCAGAATAGTGGATACTTCTTTCACTCATTCTCGGCATTACCCGGAGCTTACGACGAGGACGTGATGAGTTCAAGCTCCATTTCCGTTTTTTTTTGTATTTTTCATACTTTATATTTTTTTGTATTTTTTATATTTTATATATTTTATTTATTTTTTATATTTTATATTATTTTTTATTTTTTATATATTATTTTCTGCATTTTTTATGTTTCATTTTCAGGGTTTTTATTTCCTCTTTTCCTCCATTCTTCCTGTAGGAGGATCCCCTTTGCATTATCAATAAATTTGTACTGTAATATTGTTACTGAGTATTCTTTGAAATTAGACATAAAAACATGTTCTTCATACAACCAGAGCAACAAAACTCATTACTGTCTATATGTGATGTTTTTGAAAACAATTTCTTTCCGGTAAAAGACACAGAGGAACATTACAAGTACTACAAATCCATCTCGTCTTCTGTGGCTTATCTCTTGTAGAACAGTGGTTACATCTTTTATATGTATCTGAGACTTGTGGCATGTGAGCAGCATTAGAAAGTCTCTTTTCATCAGGTACTTTGATTTTTGCATGGCTTGGAGTATTTGGTGCCGTTCTTTTCCTACCTTTTGGAGTTGGGATCTTATGTACCACCAATTGTTCTACCAATCTCATTCGGAATTTTTTCAATGACAAAAGTGGTTTGATTTGTTTTTCCTTGTACAAAATGAATCCGTTATATATGCAGAGATCGATGAAGTGCCAAAAAATTCTAAACCACCATTTTTTGGACTTACGATCAATCTGGTAAGTAGATATTGCACGATCCGCATTGTATACATATCCCATGTGTGTGTTATAGTCTGAACACAAGACAGGACTGTTGACAGGAGTTAGAGTACCATCTTTTTGCCTCCGATTCTCAACAGTTACTTCGGTAGGGTCGTGAAAATTGGATAAAAAGTATACTGGTTTCTTATCCATCCACTTTATCCATGTGAGTCCTGATGTCGAGGTCTTGTATTCGTACTCTCCAATAACCATTTTTTTATCAGACTTATCACTTTTGGGGAGATTCGCGCGATTAGATCGTACTGTGCCACATGCAAGGATGTTATCCTGTTTTAGAGATATTAGAAGCTCTACTCCTGTGAAAAAATTATCAAAATACACCTGGTGATTATGACCAACAAAGTCACGTGTAAGATCACGAACCACACGTGCTCCTAATTGTTTTTCAGGACTATCTGTTTTGCCTGTGTAGATCTGAAATTGACAAACAAATCCCGATTCATCTGCTCGGGTCCAATCTTTGTAACCACGTTTAGTTGGCTTGGCTGGCATATATTGTTTCATGCTACTCCTCCCCTTGAACTTGATCATTGATTCATCAATAGCTTGGTGATGGCTTGGTTTCCAGCATTCTCTGAATGTTTCAGAAAGAGTGTCGAGAAGAGGTCTTAGTTTATACAATTTATCGTATTCTGGATCTCCTTTTGCTGGTTCTTTTGAATTATTATTGATATGCAAATGAGACAAAAAAAAATCCAAAGCGATTCACAGTCATCAGTGAAGAAATATATGAATCATGGAATTGAGGGCTATTAGACCAATAATCCCGATACGAAGGTAACTTCTTGTAACCCATATGGATATTGATCGCTATGAAAATTTTCAACTCATCTTTGGTGATAAGATCTCCTTTTGACTTCTTTTGAGAAATAAACAAATTTGTTTGCTCTATAATAACATCTAATAGAGACTCAGGGAACAAACAAAGAAATATATCCTTTGGAGAAGACGCGGAGTCAGGGATGATGGGTCCGTGACTCCTACTGAAAGGTAAATCAGTCTTTGGAATACTCGTCGATCTCCAAATTTCACTTTTATTTGAATCTGTAGTGGTTGTTTCGTCGTCAATTTCTTCTTCGTGTGCCTCATCTTCGAGAAGATTGTTGATTGAAGGGGCAACATGATCTACTCTGCGATCCAATACCTCATCTTCATCATTAGAATCGCACAACCCATCAACAGACTCTGAATCACTAGGAATTTCATTCACAATTCGCCTTTTTCTCCCCATGGTTACAAAATAAATCTCTTCTAAATTTGTTGATATAGAAAATATGAAAATTGAAGAGTACTACGTAAAAATTGATTCCTAATTGGCGGGAAAAAATGCCCGCAAAACAAGAATATTATGAACACAAATATACAAAACGCCTATTTGCTCTTCAACTAATATAGTGAATCCACTCCGGTCTTTTAGTCAATGAGTGTCAACAAATATATGGATGACTCCAGAAGCAAAGAGCCGATCTTTATTTATTTTTCGTAGGTCGGGGGTTGAGGGTCTTTTGGCGATTTGTATGAGCACCAAACACTTTGTATTGAATGTACTCTCCATGGGTCTGAGGGCCATATATATATATATATATATTTTTTTTTGAGAGATTCATTCACCTAATCAGAAAACAAAATACTTGAATATTTGAAACAGAATACTAAATTATATTATCAGATTTGTTATCAGCACGACCGAAAACCCTTAGAAATTACGTTTCATGAAAATGAAGTCCCTAAAAATGAAATTTGATATCCGAATTTTTGGATCCGCCATTTTGGATATATTATTTCGGAAATCTGATATCAGATTCGTTATCAGCGAGCCCTAAAAGCCTTTACATTGAATTTTGAAGTATTCAGGCCAATATAGAAAATAAATGCCTGTCCGCCATTTTGAATTCGCCATTTTGGATACATCATTTAGGAAACCTGATATCAGATTCGTTATCAGTGACCCCTAAAACTCATTAGTTATGAATTTTAAAGTTTTCAAGCGAATATAGAAAAAAATCTATGTCCGCCATTCTGAATCCGCCATCTTAGATACAAAATTCGAACAATCTAATGTCAGATTCATGATCAGCGACCTCAAAAACCCCTATATATAAATTTTCATCTAAATATCCTGGAGAGAAAAATGTATGCCTCAAAGGGTTAAAACTTTGTTATAAAATACTATTGGAAAAAATATTCTTAAAACAATCACTAGAATTCATAAAATCTGATTGTATCAAATACGATTACATCTGGATATCATATATGATATAATCAAATCGATAAAAAACTATACGACTAATTACCATTAAAGATTTTTTCTTCAAAAATATTTAAAAAATGATAGAAATTAATGATTCAATAAAATACTACTAAATTTATTTTTATTAAAAGTAATGTTCAAATTATAAAATTTGTAATAATGGAAAGAAGGGAAGTAGTGAGATCTGGAAATTCACTTAATTTTAATTATATTCAGCAACGTTTCGTCAGCACATTTGCTGACCTCTTCAGGCTTTATTAACAGAAAAACAACAACAAATTATTAACAATAAAGTTGCAAATGTAATCTTAAAGGCATCTAATTATATGTATATATGTGTGTACCTGATTTCTCCCATAGTCAAATTATTATAGGCTAAAAACAATAGCTCGTAACTAGTCACGTTACAATACAGTAAGAAATCAACACACACAAACACACACACATGCGCGCGCGCGCACATACATATATTCTTCATCTGTCATCCCTTTCTCATCGATCTTAATAAAGGCTTATAAATATGACTAAGATATTGTATATCCTCTTTTCTATTTAAAGTGTTTTTATGTAAGCCGATCTGCAACATTTCGGATATTCTGCATTTCTTATAATTCTTTTCATAATCCAATATCGTAGCTTTGTCCCAGTCAAATTCGTGTGAGAGAGTTCTTCTATGTTTAACTACTACTGTATCTAATCAATGTTTTTTTTGTGTTCATTTAATCTAATTTTTAAGGATCGCTTACTTTCACCTATGTCGATCACTGAACATTGTTTGCAGTTAAAACTGTAGACAATACCAGTGTTGTCTAATAAATCAGAATTGTCTTTTAAATAAATAATTTAGACTAGGCGGGCTATACTGTCAAATAAATTGTTTTTATTATGTCGACGACGTTTCGGTTACATTTTTGGTAACCCTTTTCAAGTCTCTACAACATTTAAACATATATACATAAATTTTATTACAGATCATTTTTGATATATAGTATTTTTTTTTTTTTTTTTCTTACACAATTATATTAATGTTTACCAATCATTTTTTGGACGCGCAAATATTATCACATTGTTTTTGTTAAAAATTAATAAAGTCAGACTTAAAAAGTAATTTTCATATTTGCGACGTTATTGTGAGTGAATGAGTGACTGAAAACATTCGGACTGTAATAGAGCAGTATCAGGCTTATGCTGCAATGTTATTATGGAGAATGACAATCAACCGGTTAGTCTACAATGGTATAGTAATACAAAGGAGAGTTTAAAGTAATTTATTGATATGATTCTTAAACACAGATTTTAGGTTTTGTGTGTCTTGTATTCTATTTACACTATTAAATTTTGTGATAAAGATCATTTCTGAAATTAAACGTTTAAAGTATGATTGTTCTACGTCTAAAATTTTAATATTTTTGTGATCGAAATTGAAATTGTGGCCTGTTTCTTTCATGTGCATAACAAGAGTTGATTTATCTCTGTTATGTATACAATCCGAAATATGTTCCTTCACTCTAGTTAATACTGTTCTACTAGATTGTCCTGTATAACACATATCACAATCTTGGCAATTTATCTTATAACCTGCACAGGATTTATACATTTTTGGGATTGGATCCTTCCCTAAATTATTAAACATTTTTGATTTATTGCAACATTTGGAGATTACATTTAGATTGAATCTATTAGCTATTTTTTTGATAGTTATATCATTATGTTTAATGTACGGTAGAACTACGAAGTCAGATTTTTTGAGCAAGTTGGTTTCTGGAGTTTCAGTATTGAAATTATTGAGTTTTTTTAATCTAATGTTTATAAATTTTTTAATGAAATGTAATGGATAGTAGTTAGCTTGTAAAAGAGAGCAAACGTGATCTATATTTTGATAGTGAAATGATTTGTGTGACAATTTTATAGCTTTATCAACTAATGTGTAAACAGTAGCGATTTTTTGTTGATGAGGAGTGTGGGAAAAGAAATTTAAGTACATGCCAGCATGTGTTGGCTTATGAAACCAATTGGTAATTATTGATCTATCGTCTGTAATCGTCAAAGATAGATCTAAAAAGTTAATAGTATTGTTGTTAGGTTTTTCGACTGTAAATTGGATATTAATGTCATAACTATTTAAGTAAGATAAAATCAAGTCAATTTCGTCTTCTCGTACGAAAGCCAATCCATCATCGACGTAAATTTTCCAAAATAGAATTTCAATAGAAGTGAAAGTGAAAAGGATAAACAATTTCACTTCTATTGAAATACCCTCATTTTTATTACAAGCTTTATATTTAGGCAGAAATTTTAATTTTACTACCAACATCAATGAAAAAGTAACTTTAGAATTTTTTAAAGGATTAGATAAAAATCTGAAAATTAATAATGAAAAAAGCAACCAATTTAGAAATGAAATTTTGCTAATTTTAAAAAATAATAAATCAAAAAATTCAAAACTACAAGACAACATTATAAACAATATCCTTTCTAAAAGTTCTGAATTTTTAAAAAATAACTCCAATATTATGATCTCAAAAGCTGACAAAGGTGGTTCTTTCACAATTATTAACAAAACAGATTACATAAAAAAAGTAGAACTTTGCTTACAAGATGAAAAAATGTACGAAAAAATTAAATCAGATCAACTTAAAGCACTTGAAACAAGAACTGATAAATTCACTAAAATTATCAACAATTCTAATTTATTTGGTAATGATGAAAAGATTTTTTGGACTTAAAAAAAACAAGTGCAATCTATCTAGATGCTATGGTTTAATCAAGGTTCACAAAGAAGGAAACCCATGTAGATTGATAATTTCCGCTTTAAATAGCCCTTTATATGATTTGTCAAAATTTTTCTCAAAATTTTTACAAAAACACTTACCAAAATCTCCATATAACGTTAAAAATAGCCTTGAAATTAACCTTTTAAGGACGGGGATTTACGTTAAAATTTGACTTTTATTTTGGACAATATTTGTGCATAAAATGAAAGAATATGTCACGTGGAGTGCCTGACAAAATTGGTGGTCGATATATCGACCAGTCCTGTCCTTAAAAGGTTAAAAAGTTCATTGAGATTTCAAAGTCCCACATGGTTTTTGTTTAGTTAGCTTTGATGTAGTATCCTTGTACAATAATATATATTATGAAGCCGTTGAAAGAGCAATTGAGAGACGGTGGCATCATTTGATGTGTAAAATTAACCTCTCATTACGAGATTTTTGCGAAATTATTGAGTTTATCATGACTAACAATTATTTTACGTTTAATGGACAATTTTACAGACAAAAGTTTGGCAGTGCGATGGGGAGCCCGATTAGCTCAATACTAGCCGACATTGTTCTAACTGACTTAATTAAAGATTGTCTAATCTGTTGTCCATACGAAATTCTATTTTGGAAAATTTACATCGATGATGGATTGGCTTGCGTACGAGAAGACGAAATTGACTTGATTTTATCTTACTTAAATAGTTATGACATTAATATCCAATTTACAGTCGAAAAACCTAACAACAATACTATTAACTTTTTAGATCTATCTTTGACGATTACAGACGATAGATCAATAATTCACAGGCCTGCAAGGTTTTGTTCTTTTGCAACTGAGGGTCATTTCCGAAGTAATTTTTGGCGTAGAATTTGAATCCGTCATCAGAATTTCTCCATCACGTCAGGTTTTTGAGTAATCGTCCCCTAAAGGTCGAAAAAACACGTTTTTTGGCCATATTCAAGGCTTGATTACATCGTGAGTTTATATTCTTTTCAAAAACGGTTGACGGCATCTTAAAGAAATACTCTTACTCTTCAAAACCCATTTTTTAAATTTAAGATATCATTTTTTTTCATCAAGATATCATCAATTGAAGTTTGCCATTTTTGAGGTTTCACCATGAGCTTAAAAGTTCGGCCAATTTTCCTGGAAGAATACGATATATTTCTTAGTTTTTTTTTTATAATGATTCTAGAATCATTATCCAAAAAATATTC